TACACAAAATCTGTAAAATATATTTTATATATTCACATTATATGTTTAAAACATTGTTACTTCGTTTATAGTTTTATACAAATCTAATCAAATTTTTATATAATGATTTTTTTTTGTAATTATTTAAATCATAAATAAATTAGGGGTTATTTTATTAAATTTAAATAAAAAAATAAATTATTTAAATCAAATTAATTTAAACATATTTTCTAAAATTTTCGTTTGTTTTAATAGCATTTAAGTAAAAAATAATAATGTTTCAAATTTGATTATTAATTGCAATAGGTTTTAAAAAAATATATATATAAATTAAAGGAAAACTTTTCACTTGATTTAAGAGACAAATGATAAATGTTTTAAAAACCCTAAATTAAATTAAAAAAAAAATATATTCATTTACATAAACAATTTAAAATAAAACTGGGTTTAAATAATAACTTAATAAGTAGCTTCTTATTTCAACTACAAATTAAGTATTTCATTTGTAAGTTTAAGCAAATAATTTTATATTTATAATTAATATTTTGTTCTCAATAGCTGATGGTCAAAGTTATATATAAGATTTATTTTTCTTTTTTTAACTTATACAACTATTTTTTTAATAAAATTCGTTTAAATTTTTGTTTTTTAATTAATTATTTTACAAATTTTTATTACAATTAGTTTTTTATGTTAAAATTGTTTAATCAATTATAGTTTTTTTTTCATCAATATAATAAAATATGTTTGTATTTTAATTACATACTTAATTTAATCTTTTTTTTATATTTTAATAAATTTATTAAAATTTTTTTAATATTATTAATATTTGAAAAAAAAAATTTTTTAAATTTAAAACAAATTATTAAAAAATTATATAAAAATGTTCATAATTCAAAAAAAACTAATAATTTTTAATAAAAAATAATTAAATTCCAAAAGATAAACAAAATTTATATTTACAAAAGAATAAGAACAGTTTTTAAAGTACAAAGGATACTGAAAACTGTATACAAACAAAATCTTTAGACTGAAAGGATTTCAAAAATGTGTTCAATATATTCGAGTCAATACTACTTTTCGATAAATAAACAAAAAAAAAAAATTGATAATTTTTTCAATGTTCAAAAATAGCTTAAGAAATTTGCCTTATTTTAAGCCATTGTGCAACAAATTAATATCTATACATAGTAACTGAAGTCTGCTGATTTCAAAAATGTCATCAAAAATTTCGAGTCAAGTTTAGTTTTCGAGATATAAAACAAGCAAAACTAGTCAAAAATTGTTTAACTAAAAATTAAAGTCCTTTTGAAAAGTTAGAATTCCAAGCAAAAAATTTATGAAATTGTAACAACTAAAACAATAGACAGTTCATATAGGCTGAGATGATTTCAAAAATATGTTTGATATTTCCGAGTCGTTACTACTTTCCGATATATAAACGAAATGAAAATAAAAATTTTCAATAATGTTTCAATGTTCTAAAATAGCTAATGAAATTTGTCTTATTTCAAGCCACTGTGCAACAAATTCGAAAAAATTAATCTCTATACATAGTAATCGACATCTGCTGATTTGAAAAATGTCATCTAAATTTTCGAGTCAGTTTTAGTTTTCGAGATATAAAACAATCAAAAATAGTCATACATGTTATAAGTCAAAATTAAAGATATTTTCAAAATAGAAGTATTCCAAGCAGAAACTTAATCAAATTGTAACAACTAAAACTGTAGACAGCTCATATAGGCTGAGAGGATTTTAAATATGTTTTTAATATGTTCGAGTCAATACTACTTTTCGATAAATAAAAATAAATAAAATAAAAATTAAAAAAATTTTAAATCTTCAAAAACAGCTTTAGAAATTAGCCTTATTTCAACCCACGGTGTGAGAAATTTTAATAAATCTATCTCTGTGTATAATAATTGAAGTCTGCTGGTTACAAAAATGATATTAGTTTTTTCGAGTCAAGTTTAGTTTTTGAGATATAAAACAATCAAAAATGATAGAACATTTTATATGAAAAATTTAAAGATATTTTCAAAATAGAAGAATTCCAATCAGAAAATTAATCAAATAGTAACAACTAAAACTGTAGACAGTTCATATAGGCCGAGAAGATTTTAAATATGTGTTTAATATGTTCTAGTCAATACTACTTTTCGATAAACAAACAAAATGAAAATAAAAATTCAAAAAATTTTAAATCTTCAAAAACAGCTTTAGAAATTAGCCTTATTTCAACCCACGGTGTGAGAAATTTTAATAAATTTATCTCTGTGTATAATAATTAAAATCTGCTGATGACGAAAATGTTATTAGTTTTTTCGGGTCACCTTTACTTTTCGAGATATAAAACAATCAAAAATGGTAAAACGTTTTTTATGAAAAAATTTAACACATTTTGAAAATAGAAGAATTCTAAGCCAAAAATTAATGAAATAGTAACAACTAAAACTGTAGACAGTTCATATAGGCCGAGAAGATTTTAAATATGTGTTTAATATGTTCGGGTCAATACTACTTTTCGATAAATAAACAATATGAAAATAAAAATTCAAAAAATTTTAAATCTTCAAAAACAGCTTTAGAAATTTGCCTCATTTCAACCCACGGTGTGAGAAATTTTAATAAATCTATCTTTGTGTATAATAATTGAAATCTGCTGATTACGAAAATGTTATTAGTTTTTTCGAGTCACCTTTAGTTTTCGAGATATAAAACAATCAGAAATGGTAAAACGTTTTATATGACAAAATTGAACACATTTTGAAAATAGATGAATTCCAAGCCAAAAATTAATGAAATAATAACAACTAAAACAGTAGGCAGTACGTATAGGCTGAGGGGTTTTCAAAAATATGTTTAGTATGTTCGAGTCGATACTACTTTTCGATATATAAACGTAAAGAAAAATTTTAACAAATTTTTCAACGTTCAAAAATATCTTATGAAATTTGCATTATTTCAACCCACTGTGTGAGAAATTTTAATAAATCTATCTCTATACATAATAACTGAAGTCTGCTGATTTCAAAAATGTTAATAGTTTTTTCGAGTCACCTTTAGTTTTCGAGATATAAAATAAAATAAAATATTTTATATGAAAAAATTAAAGTCTTTTTGAAAAATAACGGATTCCAAGCCAAAAATTAATACAATTTAAACTATTAAAACTTTATACAGAAACTATACACTGAGAGCATTTCAAAAATTTGTTTAATATTTTCGAGTCGATACTACTTATCGCTATATAAACGAAAAGAAAATAAAATGTTTCAATGTTCAAAAGTAGCTTGTGAAATTTGCTTTATTTCGACACACTGTGTTAAAAATTTTACTAAATTTGTCTCTATATGTATTAATTGAAGCCTGCTGATTTCAAAAATGTTAATAGATTTTTCGAGTCACCTTTAGTTTTCGAGATATAAAACAATCAAAAATGGTAAAATATTTTATATGAAAAAAATAAAAGTCCTTTTGAAAAATAACGGATTCTAAGCCAAAAATTAATACAATTTTAACAATTAAAACTTTATACAGAAACTATAGACTGAGAGGATTTCAAATATGTGTTTAGTATGATCGAGTCGATACCTCTTTTGGAATAAAACGAAATAAACCTTTAAAAATTTCGAAATTTTTTCAATGTTCAAAAATAGTTAATGAAATTCGACTCATTTCAACCCACTGTGCAACAAATTTAAAAAAAATGAATCTCTATACATAGTAATTGAAGTCTGCTTATTTCAAAAAAGTTATTAGTTTTTTCGAGTCGGCTTTAGTTTTCGAGATATAAACGAAATAAAAATTTAAAAAATGTCCAATTTTTTTCTCAATGTTTAAAAAAAGTTAAGGAAATGTGCCTTATTTCAACGCACTGTGTGAGAAATTAAACTCTATACATAGTAATTGAAGTTTGCTGATTTGAAAAATGTTATTAGTTTCATCGAGTCGACTTTAGTTTTCGAGATATAAACGAAATAAAAATTTAAAAATTGTCAAAAACTTTTTTCAATGTTCAAAAATTGATTAAGAAATTGGCCTTATTTCAACCCACAGTGCAACAAATTTAAAAATAATAATCTCTATACATAATAACTGAAGTCTGCTGATTTGAAAAATGTTATTAGTTTTATCGAGTCGGCTTTAGTTTTTGAGATATAAACGAAATAAAAAAAGAAAAATTTCCCAATTTTTTTTTTTTTTTTTGTTAATGTTCAAAAGAAGCTAATGAAATTTGCTTTATTTCAACCCACTGTGTGAGAATTCTGAAAAAAATAATCTCTATGTTTAGTAATTAACGTCTGCTGATTTCAAAAACGTTATTAGTCTTATCGAGTCGGCTTTAGTTTTCGAGATATAAGACATCAAAATATGCCAAAAATGTTATATCTTAAAATTAGAACTTTTTGAAAATTGGCAAATTTCATTAAAAAAATAGTTACAAATCTAACATCTAAAGCTGTCCGCGGATGCTAAAGGACAAAGGAATTTAAAAAATATATGTAATATTTTCGAGTCACATCTAGTTATTAAGTTATACGCGAGAGAAAACTTGAAATTTGGCTTGAAAATACTAATCATATGAAAACTTAAAGTAATCAAGATAATAAAGGTTTGGCTTATGTAAGAATTAGTGTTTTCAAAACTGTGTTTAATTTTTTCGGGTCATTTGCAGTTTTTGAGTTATGACGTTTTCTGTTTATAAACTTTATAAATGTGTGGATTTTTAAATTGATTTCGTTTTCTATGATTCTGTAAAAAGTTTAAGTTTTTTTTGTAAACTAAATGATCCTTTAGTTTTTTTTTATAGAATTTTAAGAAAATTTTTTTAACAAAATAAAAACTTATTTTTTAACTTATTAACTAACTTACGGCTAGAAAAAAAAAACTTTTTACAATTACAAACTACTTTTTTTAACTTTCTTTATAAAATACACTGCACTTGTTTGTTTTTTGTTACAAAATTTTTGTAAAAAAAGAACCCTTTTTTAAGAAGAAAGGGAGAGGGGAACCCTTTATTGCAAATATACCTCCTCGACTTCACCCTCATCATCTTCCAGACATTCGGTCTGTTGATGGCTTTGTAATTGAACTGTATGCAATTGTTGTATATGATGTGTCTCTACTACTTCTTCCACATCTTCAGCATCCTCCACAGCCATGGCAGCCTCTACTACTTGATCTACATTACTGGTACTGTATTCCAATAGTTCATCATCATCCATATCGGCTGAAGTGGCTTGAGTTTGGGTCTGTATGGACATGAGATGGGGAACTGTAGTTTGATGATGATGCTGTTGTTGTTGTTGGGTTTGATGATGATATTGTATTTCCTGTTGTTGTTCGCCCTGACTGCCTCCACCATGATGATGTATAATAACTTGATGCTGCTGCTGTTGTTGATGATGCTGTTGACTTTGCTGTAATTGTTGTTGATGCTCCGTTTGTTCCTCAATTTCTTCGACTTCCTGCAGCTCATGATGTTCCAACTCCTGAGCCGCGTGTGTAGTAAACACTAAAGGTGGCGGAGATTGTGAATGCTGATGTATGTTAGAGCTGCTGGTGGTTGCCTGTATAGTATTTGAGTGGGTAGTTGTTTGATGTTGCTGCTGTTGCTGATGTTGCCTTATAATATGACCTGCGTTATGAGATGTTTTATTTGATCGTTTCAGTGTGACTGTAACTTCAGAGCCGAGTCCGGCCAAAGAAACTGGTGTAGCTGTAGTAGTTGTTGTACTAGAGGTATTAGACGTATGCGTATTATTACTACTGCTGGCATGATGTATGCCTCCTCTAGTTTGTATAACCCTTCTGGTGGTGGTTGTATTGTTGTTGTTGTTCGTATTATTGGGTTGTATAATGGTAGCATTTGTGGTTTGCACTTGTGTATTATTATTAGAGGAATTGGGTGAAATGTAGTTAATCAATAAAACTCTTTCCCCTGCTGCATTGTGCGTTGTATGACCTCTTAGCATGCGTCTAGTGGCTCGGGTCAAAGGTTGTGCTGATCTTATTTGTACATTGCCACCATGACCACCACTAACCATTTGTGCTAAATCGGCGGTGCTGACACTTAATACCTCATTGCCACTTATGACGGTGTTCTGTTGTCTACTGTTACTACTACTACCGGTGTTGTTGTTGTTGCTGTTGTTCGTTTCATTGGCTGTTGACGTTGCTGTTGTTGTTGCTGCTGCTGTTGTTGTTGCCGCTACGACCTCGACTCCGTTGTCCACCGTACTACCCTCGGAGCCGCAGATCATATCGTTGGATCATCATTACGTATTATTACTGCCTTTTAAAATGAAAACCTTCTTTACCAAAATGTTCTTATTGTTGCCCTGTGTTTAGCAAAGTGATTTTTTTTTTATATATTGATTTCAAAGCAATGATATGATGTTTTGTTGGTGAAAGGTTATTGATGTTTGATTTGGTTTTTTTTTTGTAAGGTTAGTCATTATTTTAGATTTTGTTGATTTGTTCAGCGTTTTTGTGTTTTATTTCAAAACGTTTTGTTGGTTAATTTCAAAATAACACATTCATTTTTGTTTTATATAATTTATTATATAGAAAGAGAAAGAAGAAGATAAAAAAGAACAACATTTATTGATTAGTGAATGATTTTATATTATTAAATTAAATAACAAAATGTTAATTTGGTTACGATATGTTTCAAGGAAACATACTAAGAGAAACATAAAAATAAAACGATATTCAGTTTCAATTCTACTTTACGAAATATAATTCAAAAGAAAAAAATAAACAAATTTTGGAAAAAAATTTTAAGTTTAAAAATTGGTTATAAAATTTGTGTTATTTCTACCCACTGTGCCACAAATTTTAAGATATAAATTTCGATTCATAGTAATTAATGTCTGAGGATTTCCAAAATGTTCTTAAAATTTTCGAGTCACTTTTAGTTTTTGAGATATAGAATAATTAAAACTTTTCCAACAAAATTTTAAGTTCAAGAGCAGCTTATGAAAGTTGTCACATTTCCAATCACTGTGCCACAAATTTTATGTAATCAATTATAATTCTTCGTAATTTAAGTCCGAAGATTTTTAACATGTTTCTAAAATTTTCGAGTCACTTTTAGTTTTAGAGATATATAACAATCAAAAACAATCAATCTAATAAATGAATAAAAATTAGTCAAAATTTAAATTCTGATAAAAGCCTTGATTTAAACATGTTTCTCTCTTAGTATGTTTCATTTAAATATTAGCTTTATTTTAACAAAAACATGATCAGTTAAGATGAGTTCTTTTATATAATATTTTGTACAACAAGTAGTTCGTCGAATGTCTTTAATGTTTTTGTTAATAACTGTTGAACGTGTGATAATAAATTATGTGCAATTTACAAATAATAAAATGAAATAAATTAAAAACAAATGAAAATTAATTCAGGCAAAGAGAAATTATAATATTTATAAAACCAGAACTGAACCAAACAAATATAAAGAGAACTATAATTGAACTAAAACAAAACTAGAAAAGTACTAAAACTGAACTAGAACAGAACTAGAAGAGAACTAGAAGAGAACTAGAAGAGAACTAGAACAGAACTAGAACAGAACTAGAACATAACTAGAACATAACTAGAACAGAACTAGAACAGAACTAGAACATGACTAGAACAGAACAAGAACAGAACAGAACTAGAACAGAACTAGAACAGAACTAGAACAGAACTAGAACAGAACTAGAACACAACTAGAACAGAACTAGAACAGAACTAGAACAGAACTAGAACAGAACTAGAACAGAACTAGAACAGAACTAGAACAGAACTAGAACAGAACTAGAACAGAACTAGAACAGAACTAGAACAGAACTAGAACAGAACTAGAACAGAACTAGAACAGAACTAGAACAGAACTAGAACAGAACTAGAACAGAACTAGAACAGAACCAGAACAGAACTAGAACAGAACTAGAACAGAACTAGAACTAGTCTATAGTCTAGTCTATAGTCTAGTCTATAGTCTAGTCTATAGTCTAGTCTATAGTCTAGTCTATAGTCTAGTCTATAGTCTAGTCTATAGTCTAGTAGTCTAGTCTATAGTCTAGTCTATAGTCTAGTCTATAGTCTAGTCTATAGTCTAGTCTATAGTCTAGTCTATAGTCTAGTCTATAGTCTAGTCTATAGTCTAGTCTATAGTCTAGTCTATAGTCTAGTCTATAGTCTATTCTATAGTCTAGTCTATAGTCTAGTCTATAGTCTAGTCTATAGTCTAGTCTATAGTCTAGTCTATAGTCTATTCTATAGTCTAGTCTATAGTCTAGTCTATAGTCTAGTCTATAGTCTAGTCTATAGTCTAGTCTATAGTCTAGTCTATAGTCTAGTCTATAGTCTAGTCTAGTCTAGTCTATAGTCTAGTCTATAGTCTAGTCTATAGTCTAGTTTATAGTCCAGTTATTTCAAAGTTGATTTTATTTGGGGAGATAAATGAAGCAGGGATAAGATTTATATAAACAATAGTTTAAAACTAACCACCAACAAAAAGAACATGCAACATAGACCAAATTATAAAAAAAGCATTAATTCAAAAGCAAGATTTATAAAATTTCTTTAAAGTTTTCTCTATTATTAGTATTTTGTCATAAAGTTTATTTTCTTTTATAAGGGAATAGGGTTTTAAGACAAAATTACCAAAACAGGATAGAAAAAGGTTTCAAAAAGAAAAAGAAAAAAATGGTTAGTAAATTTTTGGTTTTTATTTTAATAAATTTGTGTTTTATTGAATTGTTTGTTGTTTAATTATTTAAACTAAACTAATATTAAGTTAAAATTTCCATAATAAATTTGAAAAATTAAGTTAATTTTGGTTTTTAAGAAATAAAAGTTTTTACATTATCAAAAAAAAAAAGAAATTATAAGTTTAGCCAAAATTACTATATTTTGTATTTAATATATAGACAACAATATAATAAAAAATTCTATAATTCACTAATAATAATAATAATAATATAGTTTTATTATTTATACATTATATATAAAAAACAAAGTAAATTAAATTTACAATAATTGCAGCAAATAGATTTTTTTCTAAATAATTAAGAAAAATAATAATTGTCTAAAATATGTTTAAAACTAAAAACAATAAGAACTTTAAGCTTCTTTTTTAATAAAAAATTGTGTTTAGCTAAAGAATAGTTTAAAAGAAAATAAAACTTATGAATTAAAGAAGTTTGTTTTTAAACAATAATTTTGGTAGAAAATCTTTCAGTTTTGAGTTTTTTCAATAGATATTAATATAAAACTTATTTTAAGAAATATTTTAGTTCAAAAAAGGCACTTAATTTAAAACTTTTTTTTTTAGTTTTAAAGAGTTTTTTTGTTAAAAGTAAAATTTTAGTTTAAGGAGATTAAATTTAAAGAGTTTCTAGAGTTTATTTTCTCTCATTTGGGAGAAATGAATAGCCAGTTATTGAACAAATGAAAAGTAGGAGGAAACAGATTTTATACAATTTTCATAAAATTTCATTTCACTTTTTCTTTATAAAGAAAATAAGTTAGTATTTTCTTAATTTCTGTTATTCGTTAAGATGTTTCCTCCGGATTTTTTAATTCGATTTCTCCCCAATTGCGTTAATTTTTTAACTTAAAAGGAAAAGTACAAATAACCGCCTTAAAAGCTATAGTACAACCAAGAAAGTAATAATAATATTTATATTATAAATAATAATAAAATTAACTAATAATATTAAAAATTGCTTGAATTACACCATAAAAAAATTGAAAAAGTTTTTAAATTTGAAAACTGCTACAAATATTTAAAGCATGATTGACAACGGCTACAAAACTGAGAGAGAACTAGAACAGAACTAGGACAGAACTAGAACAGAACTAGAACAGAACTAGAACAGAACTAGAACAGAACTAGAACATAACTAGAACAGAACTAGAACAGAACTAGAACAGAACTAGAACAGAACTAGAACAGAACTAGAACAGAACTAGAACAGAACTAGAACAGAACTAGAACAGAACTAGAACAGAACTAGAAGAGAACTAGAAAAGAACTAGAACAGAACTAGAACAGAACTAGAACAGAACTAGAACAGAACTAGAACAAACTAGAACAGAACTAGAACAGAACTAGAACAGAACTAGAACAGAACTAGAACAGAACTAGAACAGAACTAGAACAGAACTAGAACAGAACTAGAACAGAACTAGAACAGAACTAGAACAGAACTAGAACAGAACTAGAACAGAACTAGAACAGAACTAGAACAGAACTAGAACAGAACTAGAACAGAACTAGAACAGAACTAGAACAGAACTAGAACTAGAACAGAACTAGAACAGAACTAGAACAGAACTAGAACAGAACTAGAACAAACTAGAACAGAACTAGAACAGAACTAGAACAGAACTAGAACAGAACTAGAACAGAACTAGAACAGAACTAGAACAGAACTAGAACAGAACTAGAACAGAACTAGAACAGAACTAGAACAGAACTAGAACAGAACTAGAACAGAACTAGAACAGAACTAGAACAGAACTAGAACGAACTAGAACAGAACTAGAACAGAACTAGAACAGAACTAGAAAGAACAGAACTAGAACTGAACTAGAAATGAACTAGAAATGAACTAGAACTGAACTAGAACTGAACTAGAACTGAACTAGAACTGAACTAGAACTGAACTAGAACTAGAACTGAACTAGAACTGAACTAGAACTGAACTAGAACTGAACTAGAACTGAACTAGAACTGAACTAGAACTGAACTAGAACTGAACTAAACTGAACTAGAACTGAACTAGAACTGAACTAGAACTGAACTAGAACTGAACTAGAACTGAACTAGAACTGAACTAGAACTGAACTAGAACTGAACTAGAACAGAACTAGAACTGAACTAGAACTGAACTAGAACTGAACTAGAACTGAACTAGAACTGAACTAGAACTGAACTAGAACTGAACTAGAACTGAACTAGAACTGAACTAGAACTGAACTAGAACTGAACTAGAACTGAACTAGAACTGAACTAGAACTGAACTAGAACTGAACTAGAACTGAACTAGAACTGAACTAGAACTGAACTAGAACTGAACTAGAACTGAACTAGAACTGAACTAGAACTGAACTAGAACTGAACTAGAACTGAACTAGAACTGAACTAGAACTGAACTAGAACTGAACTAGAACTGAACTAGAACTGAACTAGAACTGAACTAGAACTGAACTAGAACTGAACTAGAACTGAACTAGAACTGAACTAGAACTGAACTAGAACTGAACTAGAACTGAACTAGAACTGAACTAGAACTGAACTAGAACTGAACTAGAACTGAACTAGAACTGAACTAGAACTGAACTAGAACTGAACTAGAACTGAACTAGAACTGAACTAGAACTGAACTAGAACTGAACTAGAACTGAACTAGAACTGAACTAGAACTGAACTAGAACTGAACTAGAACTGAACTAGAACTGAACTAGAACTGAACTAGAACTGAACTAGAACTGAACTAGAACTGAACTAGAACTGAACTAGAACTGAACTAGAACTGAACTAGAACTGAACTAGAACTGTACTAGAACTGAACTAGAACTGAACTAGAACTGAACTAGAACTGAACTAGAACTGAACTAGAACTGAACTAGAACTGAACTAGAACTGAACTAGAACTGAACTAGAACTGAACTAGAACTGAACTAGAACTGAACTAGAACTGAACTAGACTACTAGACTGAACTAGAACTGAACTAGAACTGATACTAGAACTGAACTAGAACTGAACTAGAACTGAACTAGAACTGAACTAGAACTAGAACTGAACTAGAACTAGAACTGAACTAGAAGAAGAAGAAGAACAGATGAATTCTGAACTAGAACAGAACTAGAACAAGAACAGATGAATTCGTTTCTCTTCACAATCATTCTTTAAATATCTGTTACTATTGCAAAGATTGTCTGAAAAGTATGTGTTTAGTGTGTTTCAAGTTTTAAAGGTGGTACAGAGAGTTTTATAATAGAAAAAACAAATAGTACAAGAATATGGCATAATAACTAAGGATATTTAAAACAAAACAAATTTTCCAAAAGCAACTATATTTAGTACTAAGTATAAATTAAAATGAAGTTTAAGCAATAAGTCTACACGAAACTTATTACACAAACCCCTTAAATAACCAACACACATAAAAAAATTGTCATAAAAGTTAAACAAATTTTACTAAATTAAAGCGAGGGATACAATAATATAGAAATTATAAGGTTTTTTCCAAACAAGATAAATGTTAGTTTTATAAAACTTTAAGGGATTCTGTTTAAGCATTAAAATGGTGATAAAAACTAAAACAAGCTTTTACTGTTGTGTATGTGTGTGTTAAGGAAGTCAAAGTATTTAAATGAAATCTTGTTTGATTTCTAACAAATTATAAGTTTTGAAAGAGGGTCTTTTTGTTTCTTTTTTTTTTTAAATTTAAGCTCATCTCATTTTCATCACAATGTTGAGTGTGTTTGATATTCAGTCATATTCACCTGATTGATATTGCCCAAGATTTGATGACCCTGCAGTGTTTGGACTTGAGCAATCGATAGTGATGTTGTACCATCAGTATTCTCAGTTTGTGTGACAATTTGTTGTGGCTGTTGTTGCTGCTGCTGTTGTTGTTGTTGTTGTTGCTGATTCTGCTGTTGCTGCTGTGTGTTGGCCGTAGTGGTGGCAGTTGATATATTACCCGATTGATCTATTATATGATGTTGTTGTATTTGTTGTGTCTGTTGCACTTGCACCTGTTGTACTTGTTGCTGCTGTTGTTGTTGCTGCTGCTGTTGATGTTGCTGTTGTTGTCCATTATTGGTCGTTGTCACTGTCATGGTTTGTGGTTGCTGTTGCTGTTGTTGTTGCTGTTGATTTTGTGCATCAGGATCCTTCTTTACTTGTACGGTCTGTAAGGTGTGCAACGATTGTACGGATTGTACTTGTGGCACAGTGGTAGCTGTCGTGGTCACAGTCGATGTTCCAGAAGCGTTTGTCGTGCCGGGTGGTACTGCCATAGCGGTTTTCTTGCCGGGCGCTAAAGTGTAGGTGAGAGAATAATTAAATAAAGACAGAGTGTTAAGAGACAACATATTTAAAAGAGCCGGGTATTTTGGTAATCGTAGTCAATTCCGTTGATTCCAAATCTTCTTCTGGAAAATTTGCTAAAATAAAAATTGCAAACTCTTTAGAAAAAATGCTAAAATCTTTAAATTATTTTCTAAAATATATACTAGGAAAATTTAAAGAAATTTAGCATTTTTTCTTTGGAACAAAGAGTGCAAAACAGTAGCAATACTAGTACATTTGATAACGATATGACAACACGTTGGTTCGATTTTTCTTCAGTCATTCTAAGGGCATATTAAAAAAATTAATCGTAGCTAAAGCTTTTGCCTTATTTCAGTTCCGATCGAAGTTCAAACTGAAGAACTAGAACTGAACTAGAACTGAACTAGAACTGAACTAGAACTGAACTAGAACTGAACTAGAACTGAACTAGAAGAGAACTAAAAGACAACTAGGAAAGAACTAGAACAGAACTAGAACAGAACTAGAACAGAACTAGAACAGAACAAGACAGAACTGAACTGAACTAGAACTGAACTAGAACTGAACTAGAACTGAACTAGAACTGAACTAGAACTGAACTAGAACTGAACTGAACTGAACTAGAACTGAACTAGAACTGAACTAGAACTGAACTAGAACTGAACTAGAACTGAACTAGAACTGAACTAGAACTGAACTAGAACTGAACTAGAACTGAACTAGAACTGAACTAGAACTAGAACTGAACTAGAACTGAACTAGAACTGAACTAGAAATGAACTAGAACTGAATTAGAACTGAACTAGAACTGAACTAGAACTGAACTAGAACTGAACTAGAACTGAACTAGAACTGAACTAGAACTGAACTAGAACTGAACTAGAACTGAACTAGAACTGAACTAGAACTGAACTAGAACTGAACTAGAACTGAACTAGAACTGAACTAGAACTGAACTAGAACTGAACTAGAACTGAACTAGAACTGAACTAGAACTGAACTAGAACTGAACTAGAACTGAACTAGAACTGAACTAGAACTGAACTAGAACTGAACTAGAACTGAACTAGAACTGAACTAGAACTGAACTAGAACTGAACTAGAACTGAACTAGAACTGAACTAGAACTGAACTAGAACTGAACTAGAACTGAACTAGAACTGAACTAGAACTGAACTAGAACTGAACTAGAACTGAACTAGAACTGAACTAGAACTGAACTAAAACTGAACTAGACTGAACTAGAACTGAACTAGAACTGAACTAGAACTGAACTAGAACTGAACTAGAACTGAACTAGAACTGAACTAGAACTGAACTAGAACTGAACTAGAACTGAACTAGAACTGAACTAGAACTGAACTAGAACTGAACTAGAACTGAACTAGAACTGAACTAGAACTGAACTAGAACTGAACTAGAACTGAACTAGAACTGAACTAGAACTGAACTAGAACTGAACTAGAACTGAACTAGAACTGAACTAGAACTGAACTAGAACTGAACTAGAACTGAACTAGAACTGAACTAGAACTGAACTAGAACTGAACTAGAACTGAACTAGAACTGAACTAGAACTGAACTGGAACGAGAACTGAACTAGAACTGAACTAAGAACTGAACTAGAACTGAACGAGAACTGAAACTAGGAACTGAACTAGAACTGAACTAGAACTGAACTAGAACTTAACTAAGAACTGAACTACGAACTGGAACTAGAACTGAACGAGAACTGACTAGAACTGAACTTAGAACTAACTAGAAACTGAACTAGAACTGACTAGAACTGAACTAGAACCTGAACTAGAACTGACTAGAACTGAACTAGAACTGAACTAGAACTGAACTAGAACTGAACTCAGAAATGAACTAGAACTGAATAGCAACTGAACTAGAACAGAACGAGAACAACTAGAAACTGAAACTAGAACTGAACTAGGTGTTTTGGGATGCATTCTAGGGCTTAAATGGAAATGTTTTTAAAACTACAAATTCATCGCAAGACATTCAGCAACTTAGCAAGCATAATTTTAAATGAAAATGAGAAAATGAAATTTGGAAAAGTGTAAGTGTGAGTGTAAAATTACATTTTAAATATTTAAAAAAAAGCAAAAAACACAAAACAAACATTCTTCTTGTTCAAATAATTAAGTTTTTAACTCTAATAATAAAGGGAAATTTTATTTCCAAAAAAAAGACCAAACAATTGCCGATGAATTTGTAGTTATAATTTATTTCTTAAAAAAATAAATTAAAACTTTTTAACTGAAAAACAACTAACTACAGAAATAAAATTAATAAATTATTTTGTTACAAAACAAAATTAATAAAGTTTTTTATATAAAAAAAACTTACAAAAAATAATTACAAACTCATAACAAAAGTTTGGCTTTTTTTCAAATATGTCCACTTTATTTGTAAAAAAAAATAATAATAAAAATTTAAGTAAATTATAAAAAAATAGAGGTTATTACTGGCAGAAATTCTTTTTACAAGAAATTAGGAAAAAGTATAAGATTTCTATTAAAAACACAAAGAGATTTTGCTTATTAGAAAATTTTAAAAGAAAATTAAAAAAGTTGAAAAATTTTAAAGAAATTTTTATGAAGATTTTTACAATTTGAAAATAATTCAAAATTTAAATACTGTTTTTAATTATAAAACACTATACTTTGTATAAATTAAACTGTAGAATGTTGTTGTTGTTTGTGTTTTTTTCTTTTTCTTCATACTTTTTTTATAGAACTTTAAATATTTAACATAAAACTATGTTTTACAAAATAATGAATTACACATTAAATAAAATTATTAAAATTAAGTGGAGGAATATTATTATTATTATTTAAAAATAAAAAACTATATGTTAATGTTAAATGTAAATATATAATGAGGTTTATGTACAAAATTAAGAGGAGGGAGGGATGTTGTTTCTTTCTTAAGCAGTGATTTTTAAACTTTTTATAAACAATATTAGAAAATTGTAAAAGGAATGCGCTCATTTCCAATAAAAAATTAAAAATGCCATAACTTAAATATGGAAAAAAATATGTTAAATATAAAAAAGCAAAGCTTTAAATTAGATAATAGCAAAAGAGCGTGAGAGAGGAAATAAGAGTTAAAGAGCTTCTATAGTTTTAATATTTAATGAGGTGTTATTGTTGCTGCTGTTGCTGTTGTTGTTGCTGCTGTTGTTGTTGTTGTTGCTGTTGCTGATAAACCTCCTCACTCACTATATGTATAACATTTTGCATTTGATTTTGTGTCACTGTCAAGGGTTGAGCATTGGCGTTACCCACTATACAACCACCACCACCCGGTTCTTGTTTCATGGGTATTTGTGTTATTGTACCGCCCACATTCAGGGCTGCACTACTCACTAGTATTGGTGTAGCTACCGTGCTGGTGGTGGTTAGAGGTGCCGCCGTTGCTGTGACCACAACACCCGTGTGTTGTGATGTATCTAAGAGGGTGCTGGTATCACTGTTTAGTGTAGAGGAGGCTAGCAGTGTTGTACCGTTATCGGAGTCAGTTGCACTTGTATTGGCGGCGGCAGACTTACTTTTCTTTTCCTTTTTAACGCCGGGTTTGGCAAAATGTCTCAGTTCCAAGTGACGACGCAAGTTACGAGATTGACGGATGACAGCATAACAGATGGGACAGGTGGCCGGTTGTTCGGATTGGGATCGGGAGCGGGGTTCTGTAAACAAAAAGAAAAAGTAGGTATTAGAAATATGTATTTTGGATTTTGAACTGGAACAAAAACTAGAATAGAACTAGAGAAGAACTACAACAGAACTAGAACAGAACTAGAAACAGAACTAGAACAGAACTAGACAGAACTAGAACAGAACTAGAACAGAACTAGAACAGAACTAAGAACAGAAACTAGAACAGAACTAGAACAGAACTCGAACAGAACTAGAACAGAAACTAGAACAGAACTAGAACAGAACTAGAACAGAACTAGAACAGAACTACTAGAACAGAACTAGAACAGAACTAGAACAGAACTAGAACAGAACTAGAACAGAACTAGAACAGAACTAGAACAGAACTAGAACAGAACTAGAACAGAACTAGAACAGAACTAGAACAGAACTAGAACAGAACTAGAACAGAACTAGAACAGAACTAGAACAGAACTAGAACAGAACTAGAACAGAACTAGAACGAACTAGAACAGAACTAGACACAGAACTAGAAACGAACTAGAACAGAACACTCGAACAGAACTAGAACAGATAGAACAGAACTAGAACAGAACCTAGAACAGAACTAGAACAGAACTAGAACAGAACTAGAAACGAACTCGAACAGAATAGAAAGAACTAGAACAGAACTAGAAAACAGACCTAGAACAGAACTAGAACAGAACTCGCACAGAACTAGAACAGAACTAGAACAGAACTAGAAAAGAACTAGAACAGAAACTAAACAAGAACTAGAACAGAAACTAGAACAGAACGAGAACAGAACTAGAACAGAACTAGAACAGAACTAGAAACAGAACTAGAACAGAACTAGAACAGAACTAGAACAGAACTAGAACAGAACTAGAACAGAACTAGAACAGAACTAGAACAGAACTAGAACAGAACTAGAACAGAACTAGAACAGAACTAGAACAGAATAGAAACAGAACTAGAACAGAACTAGAACAGAACTAGAACAGAACTAGAACAGAACTAGAACCTAGACTAACTAGAACAGAACTAGAACAGACTAGAACAGAACTAGACCAGAACTAACTAGAAACAGAACTAGACAGAACTACTGAACTAGAACTGAACTAGAACAGAACTAGAACAGAACTAGAACAGAACTAGAACAGAACTAGAACAGAACTAGAGCAGAACTAGAACAGAACTAGAACAGAACTAGAACTGAACTAGAACAGAACTAGAACAGAACTAGTACAGAACTAGAACAGAACTAGAACTAGAACAGAACTAGAACAGAACTAGAACAGAACTAGAACAGAACTAGAACAGAACTAGAACATAACTAGAACAGAACTAGAACAGAACTAGAACAGAACTAGAACAGAAGTAGTAACAGAACTAGAACAGAACTAGAACAGAACTAGAACAGAACTAGAACTGAACTAAAACACTTAACCAATAAATTTCCACAACATTTCCACTTACTTTCACCACTGGTATCTTCGTACGTTTTCCGGGTTTGCTAGGCGTTACCATGTTACATCACCGCTGCTATTCGGATCTATACTAACAATCGTCTCCACCTTTGTCACTTCACTCTTAATGATGGGTGTCGAGGTGATTATTTGCGTTTCCGTACCGTTTTCAATTTGTTGTTGCTGTTGAACCTGTTGTTGCTGTACCTGTTGCTGCTGCTGCTGTTGGGCCTGTTGTTGTTGCTGCTGTTGTTGTTGAACCTGTTGTTGCTGCTGTTGGTTAGTTTGAACAGTAGTGGCCGTATGCGAAGAAGTGGGAGTGCTGATAATTGTTTCCATGCCTTCAACTTTGCTGATTTTAGGAGCCGTGGCTGTTGCGATAAGAAAATATGTATTAAATATTTATTTTATAAAGAATCTAGAATAACTTGACTTACGTGACATTTTCTTAACTCTGGGTTTACGTTTGCGTGCCGGTAAATATTGCTGTATAACATCCTTGGTAGCATCAGTGGTCAAAATCGTTTGCTGTTGTCCGGTAGCCGCATTTGTCTGAGTCGTAGTCTGTAAGATTTGTCCAGCCTGGTGTATATCATCAACAACTTGAGCGTGTACGGTTTGTTGGGGTGCAGTGGCAATGGTCGCAATCAGTTGGTCTTGTTCCTATTAAAATTGAAATATAAAATTTATAAAGATTTGTTATAGATAATGGAAATTTTCGCCGAAACCTACATGGTGATGTTGGGGTATCATATGCTGCAATTGTATCGAGTGCGTGTAGTCATCTTTGGTCACAGTTTGTGGCGCCAACCTTGTATGTTCAAACATTGAGCTGCCTGCAATAGTGAGGGTAATTGAGCGTGATCAACGCTCACCTCACCACGATAGACAAACTCGAGCAGAGCCTCCAAGTCATTGGCATTGACACCAGCCAACATAACTACTGGATGTTTGCAGGGAGTGTTCTGGAAAAGGACAAAAGGAAAAATTAGAAAAAAAAAAAAACAATTTTTTGACAGGATATTTTTCTAAAAGGGAACTTGTGTAAGAACTAGAACTGAACTAGAACTGAACTAGAACTGAACTAGAACTGAACTAGAACTGAACTAGAACTGAACTAGAACTGAACTAGAACTGAACTAGAACTGAACTAGAACTGAACTAGAACAGAACTTGAACAAACTAGAACAGAACTAGAACAGAACTAGAACTGAACTAGAACTGAACTAGAACTGAACTAGAACTGAACTAGAACTGAACTAGAACTGAACTAGAACTGAACTAGAAATGAACTAGAACTGAACTAGAACTGAACTAGAACTGAACTAGAACTGAACTAGAACTGAACTAGAACTGAACTAGAACTGAACTAGAACTGAACTAGAACTGAACTAGACTGAACTAGAACTGAACTAGAACTGAACTAGAACTGAACTAGAACTGAACTAGAACTGAAACTAGAACTGAACTAGAACTGAACTAGAACTGAACTAGAACTGAACTAGAACTGAACTAGAACTGAACTAGAACTGAACTAGAACTGAACTAGAACTGATACTAGAACTGAACTAGAACTGAACTAGAACTGAACTAGAACTGAACTAGAACTGAACTAGAACTGAACTAAAACTGAACTAGAACTGAACTAGAACTGAACTAGAACTGATCTAAAACTGAACTAGAACTGAACTAGAACTGAACTAGAACTGAACTATAACTCAACTAGAACTGAACTAGAACTGAACTAGAACTAGAACTGAACTAAAACTGAACTAGAACTGAACTAGAACTGAACTAGAACTGAACTAGAACTGAACTAGAACTGAACTAGAACTGAACTAGAACTGAACTAGAACTGAACTAGAACTGAACTAGAACTGAACTAGAACTGAACTAGAACTGAACTAGAACTGAACTAGAACTGCACTAGAACTGCACTAGAACTGAACTAGAACTGAACTAGAACTGAACTAGAACTGAACTAGAACTGAACTAGAACTGCACTAGAACTGCACTAGAACTGAACTAGAACTGAACTAGAACTGAACTAGAACTGAACTAGAACTGAACTAGAACTGAACTAGAACTGAACTAGAACTGAACTAGAACTGAACTAGACTGAACTAGAACTGAACTAGAAACTGAACTAGAAACTGAACTATGAACTGAACTAGAACTGAACTAGAACTAGAACTAGAACTGCACTAGAAACTGCACTAGAACTGAACTAGAACTGAACTAGAACTGAACTAGAACTGAAACTAGAACTGAACTAGAACTGAACTAGAACTGAACTAGAACTGAACTAGAACTGAACTAGAAACTGAACTAGAACTGAACTAGAACTGAACTAGAACTGAACTTGAACTAGAACTAGACTGAAACTAGAACTGAACTAGAACTGAACTAGAACTGAACTAGAACTGAACTAGAACTGAACTAGAACTGAACTAGAACTCGAACTAGAACTGAACTAGAACTGAACTAGAAACTGAACTAGAACTGAACTAGAACTGAACTAGAACTGAACTAGAACTGAACTAGAACTGAACTAGAACTGAACTAGAACTGAACTAGAACTGAACTAGAACTGAACTAGAACTGAACTAGAACTGAACTAGAACTGAACTAGAACTGAACTAGAACTGAACTAGAACTGAACTAGAACTGAACTAGAACTGAACTAGAACTGAACTAGAACTGAACTAGAACTGAACTAGAACTAAACTAGAACTGAACTAGAACTGAACTAGAACTGAACTAGAACTGAACTAGAACTGAACTAGAACTGAACTAGAACTGAACTAGAACTGAACTAGAACTGAACTAGAACTGAACTAGAACTGAACTAGAACTGAACTAGAACTGAACTAGAACTGAACTAGAACTGAACTAGAACTGAACTAGAACTGAACTAGAACTGAACTAGAACTGAACTAGAACTGAACTAGAACTGAACTAGAACTGAACTAGAATGAACTAGAACTGAACTAGAACTGAACTAGAACTGAACTAGAACTGAACTAGAACTGAACTAGAACTGAACTAGAACTGAACTAGAACTGAACTAGAACTGAACTAGAACTGAACTAGAACTGAACTAGAACTGAACTAGAACTGAACTAGAACTGAACTAGAACTGAACTAGAACTGAACTAGAACTGAACTAGAACTGAACTAGAACTGAACTAGAACTGAACTAGAACTGAACTAGAACTGAACTAGAACTGAACTAGAACTGAACTAGAACTGAACTAGAACTGAACTAGAACTGAACTAGAACTGAACTAGAACTGAACTAGAACTGAACTAGAACTGAACTAGAACTGAACTAGAACTGAACTGAACTGAAACTAGAACTGAACTAGAACTGAACTAGAACTGAACTAGAACTGAACTAGAACTGAACTAGAACTGAACTAGAACTGAACTAGAACTGAACTAGAACTGAACTAGAACTGAACTAGAACTGAACTAGAACTGAACTAGAACTGAACTAGAACTGAACTAGAACTGAACTAGAACTGAACTAGAACTGAAACTAGAACTGAATCTAGAAACCTGAACTAGAACTGAACTAGAACTGAACTAGAAACTGACTAGAACTGAACTAGAACTGAACTAGAACTGAACTAGAACTGAACTAGAACTGAACTAGAACTGAACTATAACTGAACTAGAACTGAACTAGAACTGAACTAGAACTGAACTAGAACTGAAACTAGACTGAACTAGAACTGAACTAGAACTGAACTAGAACTAACTAGAACTGAACTAGAACTACTAGACTGAACTAGAAATGAACTAGAACTGAACTAAACTGAACTGACTGAACTAGAACTGAACTAGAACTGAACTAGAACTGAACTAGAACTGAACTAGAACTGAACTAGAACTGAACTAGACTGAACTAGAACTGAAACTAAGAACTGAAACTCTAACTGAACTAGAACTGAACTAGAACTGAAACTAGAACTGACTAGAACTGGAACTAGAACTGAACTAGAACTGAACTAGAACTGAACTAGAACTGACTAGAACTGAACTAGAACTGAACTAGAACTGAACTAGAACTGAACTGGAACTGAACTAGAACTGAACTAGAACTGAACTAGAACTGAACTAGAACTGAACTAGAACTGAACTAGAACTGAACTAGAACTGAACTAGAACTGAACTAGATCAGAACTACAAACAGAACTATTCCGCTAAGTTTTTAAAATTCACAGAAATTTAAAATTTTTCTTCTCGTTAATCGAATAAACAAAATATCTTTAAATTTGTTTCTATTATCTCATTAAAAAATTCAATTTTCAATTAATAATTTACCAATTTAACTAAAACAAAAACATGTCTACATTTATTTGTTTACACTTGCATATTTCCTATTTGGTTTAGTAAAGTATTTAGTATATAGAGTTTGTTGTTATTTACTTTCCAAGTTCATTAAACTCTCTATATAAAATTATATTTTTTCATGCTAGTCTTTTTTATTCCTCTACGTCATATTTCTATATCTTTATAAGTTTTCTACTCTTCCTCAATTACCTCTTTTTTGTTGTTTTTTACAAAAAACAGTCTCTAAAGTTTAGAGATTGTTTTTTTTTTTTTTTTTTTTTTTTGTTTAAAGCCTAAACTCTTTGTTTTTATGATGATGGCTAAACGAATAACCTGAAAAGCTGAGCTGCACTAATATAATATGAGTGCGGGAGTACCACAATAGTTTTATATTATAATGACCCTCCTCTCTGCTTTCTTTTTGCTGTTGTCTCGTTTATGGATAATAACAATCTCTTGTCGAAAAAAACGAAAAAGAAAATCTTACAACCAAAAAGAGCATCTTTAATATTTAAGGTGCCTATGATACTCTACTAAACCCTCGGTTTATGGTACCTTTCCCTCACCATGATTCATTCATTAATTTAGTAATTTCTTATTGAGTTACTTGGTTTTTTTATCTTTAAACTCTGAGCGTTAAAAAAATAATTGGCCTCAGTTTTTTAAATACAAATAGTTTTCACTTTTCCCTGAGTTTAAAAAAACTGCGTGTGTAATTCTCTGTCACGTTATTTTAGTGTAAAAGTGAGTGCATGATTGTGTTCTTAATATATAGACTGTTTTGTTCATATAATTTTTTTTGTGTAGAGTAAATCTCTGTTTTGGTTATTTAATGCTCTTGTTTTGATTACAGGGAGAGGAAAAGGGGGGTTTTGTTTTTTTAGATTTTTTATTAAAACAAGATTTTTTCTTTTTATTCTTTTTAAAAAAGAGATGAAGAGAAACAGTGTTTATGCTTTTGTTGTCATCATTTTAATAAATGCCGGCAGTATTTATGTCTCCGATAAAAAAAGTTAAACTCACTTTGGGTCACACGTGCTAAAAATGTGGTTTTATTTACAAGAGAGATCTTTAAATAACAAACAATTACTTTGTACCACAAATGTGACTAAAAAGTTCTAGGTCATTTTTAGTTCAGTTTTAGTTCTGCTCTGGTTCAGTTCTAGTTCTGTTCTAGATCTGTTCAGGTTCTGTTCTAGCTCTAGTTCTAGTTTTGTTCTAGTTCTATTATAGTTCTGCTCTAGTTCTAGTTCAGTTCTAGTACTGTTCTAGTTCAGTTCTAGTACTGTTCTAGTTCTGTTCTAGTTCTGTTCTAGTTCTGTTCTAGTTCTGTTCTAGTTCTGTTCTAGCTCTGTTCTAGTTCTGTTCTAGTTCTGTTCTAGTCTGTTCTAGTTCTAGTTCTGTTCTAGTTCTGTTCTAGTTCTATTCTAGTTCTGTTCTAGATCTGTTCTAGTTCTGTTCTAGTTCTGTTCTAGTTCTGTTCTAGTTCTGTTCTAGTTCTGTTCTAGCTCTGTTCTAGTTCTGTTCTAGTTCTGTTCTAGTCTGTTCTAGTCTGTTCTAGTTCTAGTTCTGTTCTAGTTCTGTTCTAGTTCTATTCTAGTTCTGTTCCAGTTCTGTTCTAGATCTG